ATCTCTCTATCTATTTATATATTTTTCATTTCACAAAAGTAATTTCTAGTACTTAGCGACATCGATGTTAGCGAGAAACTATAAACGGCCGCGGCAGCCGGCACGCAAGCGGACTATTGACCATTCCGATCGAGGCAGCTTTCCATGCCACTTTCGACGCTGCGCCGGCGCACGTACCAAGACTTTTAATTATTTAACCTGTCACAAGTTGGCATGGGTAACATCGTTACCGCTACGACAGGTACGCAAACTACGCAAAAATACACTATATCAAACGCCTAGCGGAGGTGAAGAAGGAAGAAAAAAAGAATACAAATTTAAACAGATATAAAAATAAACATCGATACCGCACCAATATCTATATATTAGATTCCTTTGGCCATTGATGACGGGATAAAAAGTCATCACTCATTGCAATTTTTTTTACAACACAGGAGGCAAACGAGCATGCGGCTCACCTGATGGTAAGTGACTACCGCCGCCCGTGATCACCCACAACACCAACGGCATTGCAGGTGTGCTGCCGGCCTTTTAAAAGGGAATATGCTCTTTTCTTGAAGGTTACCTATTGCCTATACCGGTCGGACATTTATTTATTATAAAGTCTTTATTTAACCACTAATAATAAATACTTTACAGTACATAACTATTTAGGTTTTTGTCGAAAAAATTTTAATCCTTGTAAGTCTGGAGTTTGAAATAGGTCGAAACTGGTACTAATTGATTGCGATTATCGAATTAATTCGATTTCGTATTTATTCCAATCGGTTTCTTTATTTCAATGTTAGAAGTAGAGAAACCATAGAAATTCCAATCACTTCTAGATGGCATATCAAGATGGAACCTCACCAGCTTTTGGACTAGATCTTTAGGTATACGGCTGTGAAAACTGCATCCAATTTGGCATAGTAGTTTATCAACATACAGACAGCAAAAATTTCAAAAAAAATTGTTTTGGCTTCTATTGGTCGTACACTTTTTACGTGTAAATTTCTTAAATATCTCCCATATATAGACAACGTCTACTTACAATTTTATTATATTAAATTGGATAACTGATATTTAATATAATAACTACTAAACCAATATATATAGATATTGCAGCTGCAATATCTGTATATAGCTGAGTATTCGCCCACCACTAATCACAAGTACATATCACTTTGTTTACTATACGTGCACACATAAGAAGCACTTGTTGCCTTACTATACCATATTAACGAGCGCATTCGATTTCTTACTTGTCATTTTATGTGAACTAACTTTCAAACTGCCATTATCGAGAACCAGTTTTTTTTCTTTCTTTATTATTTACATGTTTACGCACTTTTAATTTAAACCACTCACTATCATAAATGTGAAAGTTTGTTACTTCTCGGCGTTTCAACTAATCGTATTGTATTGTATTGTAAAATCTTTATTGCACATAATTTATTGGGTACATTAAAAGATTTAGTAAAATACTCGCTGTTTGTAAAATGAATTGAAGTAGCGTGATTTGGGCATATTGTTTTGACCGTGGTCAATGTCCCAGTCGTGTGCTCAGCTAGCCTTAGTAATAAAATTGTAATTAATTTTAATTTTTATAGATGCCAAGATAATATTTTTTTAAAAAATTGTCTGCCTGTGTTTTTGTTCCGGTATCACACAAAAACTACACTACCAAATTAGATGTGGATTTCACACTTGTGTTATGAAGGCTAAACTTAAAATTTAGTGTACCTTTCATTTTGATATATTATCTAGAAGTGATATATTCTGTTGGTTTTCTTACTACTAAAATCCACATGTAACGTAGCAGGCACAAAGAAGTTATTAATTAGAATATATATATATATATATATATATATATATATATATATATATATATATATATATATATATATATATATATATATATATATATATATATATATATATATATATATATATATATATTGATTTACGTTCAGCGCCGCCTGACTTACAAGATGAGAAAATGTAATTTAAAAACCGTTCATATAAGTTCATAACAATATATATATATATATATATATATATATATATATATATATGTATAGGTAATATCTTTCCGAACGACATCTGTAAAAAACAAAGCAAGTTACTTGTTCCGCTAATTTCAAGTAAATTGATAAACCTCTCAAACCTTTCATTTGATTCGGAACAGTTAAAACAAATTTCAAATTCCGAACAATTTAAAACATTTATCGCTTTATTAACAAAATGTTTATTTAATATGAAATTCGACTTTTTAAGAGTTTCCTCTTGTCGGTGCAACTAAGTCATGCATCTTCTTTCGGCCAGCTCTATCCTATATCTCTATCCCAGGTCACTCGACTCGAAGTTCGACTAATGTTTAATAAACTATAGATTAATTTTGATATCATTTTCAATCAAAGCTTGTGTGATACCTGAGTGAGAATCTACAATGTGGTCATTCTTTCATCCTTTTCGTTCCCAGGATATCGTTATTTACCAGACAGCCAATTTAGCCAATTTACCAGACAGAAATCGAATTCCTGACCTTACTGGCAATCTTTGTTATTTACTAGCAAGATTAATCTAATATATAAAATTCTCGTGTCGCGATGTTTGTTACCAAACTCCTCCGAAACGGCTTTACCGATATTTATAAAATTTTGCGTCCATATTGGGTAGGTCTGAGAATCGGCCAACATCTATTTTTCATACCCCTCAATGATAAGATTGACCTACCCCTAATTTTTTTTTTAAATTTTATAACATTTTTTTTTATTTTAATTTTATTATGATTTAGCATTGACAAATACATACAAATTCAAATTTTCACGCTTTTACGATTAACCCCTGTTTTTAATCGTGATTTTTAAATAGCAATTATTGCAAGATGGCAATCGAATATAATAATTGTAGTACTTTAAATTTTCATGTATAATTTTCGAAATAACGTATATGGTAAAACAAAGTTTGCCGAGTGAGCTAGTATTTTATATAAACTATAATATGGAAATTATTCATACTTTAAGTTACATTATTGTAATTTTTGTAGATATCACAAATAACGGATCCCAACAGCGTATAATAACTTGCTTAAAGATGCTTCGTTTAGAACTGAAACACGTGTCGTAAAACGTGCATGGACGATATGGCAGTCGGAGACTGATGGCTAATATGGAAGATTTTAGAACTTCTGCTAGAAATGATGGTAATTCTAATCAAATAACCAACAATATATAATCTGTTACTCGTTTATAATGTAGTTTTTTCCGTTCAGCATTGGCAAATATATCGCGTAACACAAAGCTGTCTAATTGAGAACCTAACTACCTTTGAAGTTGGTTAAAAGTAGGAAGAGATTCAACCATTTGTGTTAAAAACATATGTTATCCATTATTAGTTATTACATTGAATAAATATAATTATGAACGCAACGCAAAATGTTTTGTTCTACATCGTACCCGCGTCGTACCGTCGCGAATCCAGGGTTGGCACAGCATTTTCACATTTTAGAAAGTGAAGGTCCAAATTTACATGTGTATAAGCCAATGTTTGTTTGTTGACGTGTTCGTAAACGGTGTGAAACTCGTGTCCGATCGCAACTTTTGTTCCGACGCGCGGACGCTAATGAGTTTTTACTTTTCAATGTAATGTAACGTCATTACGTACTATTAGACAAATTTTGGCCGTAGAAAGTGATGCTCTCGAGTGATTACAGCTGTTGGTGTTGCCATATTCATATTCGGCATTTATTTATTTATTAACTCTTTATTGCACTATTTAAGAAATAATACAAATATATATATTTGTTATTATTGTATTAATTATTTATTATATAATTATTTTCCATGTGTGTCGTAAGAGGCGACTAAGTGAACTTAATGATCGAGACATGGGCAGCAGCGTCCCACTCAAAACATCACTAAGAGCCTAACTGCGGTTGCCCACTCGTCTACCAAGCGTGGCAACTACTGGCAAAACTTTTCTTATGGGGAAGTCCTATGTTCAGCAGTGGTCAGTTAATGGCTGATATATTTATATCTTATATATAAAAATCTAGTTGTACGGTGTTTTTGATCGAGTTCCTCCGAAACGGTTCGAACTATTTTTATGAAATTTTTATTCATATTTGTTAAGTATGAGGATAGGTCGATATATATATATGAAAAAAAAAAATTATTTAAATTATAATCTGGTGTAGGTATATTTTATTTTGATATGCCATTTCCAAAATCTGCACTTACGTAGTTGCGGGCATAAGCTGTACAGTCATAAAAAAAAATATGTTACTCGTTTATAAGTGTATCACTTAAGAACGGTTGGAACGAATGTAGCATTTCTTTTGTATGTTGATAGTAATCCGAATAAGGTTTTCGAAACACGAAAAAAAAACATTGGAAAATAGACAATAATGTGTCTGGTCGTCTAGTTTAAATAAAAAATTGTAAATATTATTAAAATAATTGTAGTAAAATGTATTTAAAAAAAAAAACCTTGTTATAACATACTTATATATGCATTATCTTGTTTTAAATATTATAACTATATTAACACCAATGTAATTGAAAGAAGTAGAAAAGAATTATTCAGTGTGATAATTAATTATTACAAAAAAAAAAAGTCAATAAACTATCGTGATTTACTACACAAGTCTTATTTATATCTGATGTATTTATTGCTCTAAAAAAATATTTCACATTGTATTAAAAAAATACTAAAAAAAGTTACGTAGTGTATTTTGTCTTTGTAAAAAAAAAAAAAAAAATCGGCCATTTGAGATTTTTAGCTCATTTAAATTCCACTATACTTTCAATTCCATCGGTTCAACCGTATACGTAATAAATCAAAGGTGATTTCACAATAATTTTGAATAAAAAATTTGATTTTCGAATATCACTATTTATATTTTTTTTTATTCACCAAAATAAGCACAACAACAAACTTTTCCACCAAAATCACTTGTGAAACACCTTTCCGATCACGTGGTCACATTCCGTCCCTCCGACGTCACTGCACTGACTTACCTTACGCCTGGAACAGTCACTATGCACAACACTATCCTCTAGTAGCTGGCCTGTTACGGTGAAAGTGCGTGCGGCTTCTTGGAGAGTGTTACCCAGTATGAGCGCTGTGCCTTGAACTTCACTATATATATATAGGATGACCCAGTTCGTTCGCCGCTAACTGTGCTAGTCCGTCAATCCATTTGTCCGACCTGTTCATCCCGTTGTCCGTCCTGGACCTTGTCAAGGACATTGACAACTTAACCCACCTGTTATTACTGTTGACTTTAACATTCATTAATATAGACATAGAGATATTATTTGTACCGTGTTAAATTGTTAACTTCTTTTAAAGTTTATTTTTTTATTTTTGATAGTATATTAGTTTGTAAAGATATGTGTATGGATGGGCGTTTGTTATTCTTATTGGTTTTGTTTGGTTTGAATGTTTGATACACTGGTTATCTTAATTTGGAACATGGATTTCTTTATATACTGATGCATGCGGGTGAAGCTGTATGATATAAATAGTTTTTTTTTATTATTATTATACCTTCTTCAGGTATATCAGCCCTATCGTACCCTGAACTGATTTTTCAAATAAAGCTTTATCTTCTTTCCCTAGACGCGGAAAGAGAAGAATTAATAGGCATCAATAATTTACAGAGATGTTAAAAAATTTCTAGTTTAGCTTCAGCTAATATAGATTGAATAAGACCAATTTATTTAAGTTAAAGTGGCGCATGAATTCTTCTCTTTCGTTCGTGTTAATACGACATTCTTATAGAATTATGGGTATATATATCTCATATTCATAGAAATATATATAATGAGTACCTAAATATTAAATACATTTAGGTACAGTACATGACAGAATTACGGACAGTACACGAGTACCTAAATTTATTTATTTGAATAAATTTAGATACTTTAAAATTTAACTTTATTGACCGCTTTATGGTACAAGAACACAATGGTATAATGTTAATTAAAAAAGGATTATAAAAATTATAAAAAGGTAATATGTATCCTGTAATTTTATAAAATAAAGTTTATCATTATTGTTGTATTACAAAAAACTGTCCCTAAAAGTGAAAAGCCGCAATTTTAGCGTGGAGCTTTTGCTAAAAAGAAAAAAAAGGTTTCATCACGTGGCCATTGTCAGGGTTAATTGGCAATTTGATATGATAATAATAATAAGATTTTGGATTTATTATTCAGACTACAATTTGGTCCATTTTTTTAGTAACAATTTCCTTACAAACTATGTTAGTTAAAACTCACGTTCTATATTTTTACTAATGTCATCTTGTCTGGAGTTTCATAGCCTATATGTTAATTAATATATCTTTTTTCTTTATTACAGGTACATGTTTCTCATTTGGGGTAATTGGTAAGACGGGAGAGTGGTGAGTATTCATTACATTCTAATACATTCGTCAAATCGTATCGACTTCAAAAAGAAAGAGATAGATAGATACTCTTTTTTGTTTCCTCCATAAGATTATAGTAGTAAAATTATTATAAATATAAACAATTACAATATTACTTGAAGAAAACAATGAGTGGCCTTATCGCTAAGAGCAATCTCTTCCAGACACCTTTGGATGGAGAAGAATAATTATAAACAGTGTGACTGGAAAAAAAAAACGAAAAAAAAGAAAAAAATCTGAAAGAAGTTCTAAATTTGGTTGTATTTTTTTTTTTTAATGTTTGTTACCTCATAACTCCGTCAGTTATAAATCTGTTTTTTTTTTTTATCTAAATGTGTATACTTACAGATTAGTTCAATAGAAATTTTACAAAAATCAATTCGGTAGTTTTTAAATCAGGATAACAGGTTTTGCTACGTTTGAAGTCGGTTTGTTTTTTGTTAAATACATTTTTAATTATTCCAATCTTATATCTCAACTAGCTGACCCGGTAATCTTTTTTTGTCTCTATCATCTATCTACCGGGCCCATATTTTCTTATTTGGATTTTTTTTTGTTTTTCAATTCAATTCAATTTATTTATTATAGAAATATTATTTAGAAAAATCTTAATAATTAACAAAGTATATTGTAGAGCCTGTCGGGCATAGCAATTAGAAGCGAGGAGGGAGTCGTTTTTAAAATTTTCTTAAAAATTTCAATAATTTTTGTTTAAATAATAATATCTAACGATATTAAGTTTATTTTTATTAATTTAATTGTCAATTTTATTTATTTTCACTTATTATAATTAATTAATTTTTAATCTAAATATTTTTTATTGAATTTTATTTAGTTTATAAATGAAGGCTATCAAATTTTAATTTTATTAATTTAATTATAGATTATCTCTCAATTTAGAGCATATAATACCGAATACAATTATAACATTTCTTTAAAATCGGTTTAAATATTTAGGTGATTAGTGTTTTTTTTTTATACAACTTAGAATGGCAAACAAGCTGACAAGTCCGCCCGATGGAAAGTGGTAACCGTCGCCTATAGACATGAGCAGTACCATGGACATAACAGAGTATACTGTTTTGCCCATGATACCTACCATGCGTTGCCATTCCTTAGGACTCAAATGTTATACCTCTGTACCCTGTAAATTCACGCCATATCCCACCCTTCAAACCGAAACACAGCCATGCAAACACAACTGCTTCACGGTTGAAACACGAATAGGATAGAGGTACTCAAGCGAACGACTTTTGTACAAAGACTCCCTCTGGTACAAAAGTACAGTTCCTCTAAAGTACAAAACACCTGTATAAAAGGAGTCGACAATATTATCACCCACGCGTTGCTGATGACTTGTCTATTGTATTTTTTTATGCAATTTAGAATGGCAAACAAGCTGACTGCCCACCTGATGGAAAGTGGCAACTGTCGTCTATACACATGAACAGTACAGAGTAAACTGTGTCACCCATGATACCCTTCATGCGTTGCCAAACGAGAGGAATTTTCTTTTAATGGATGATAATGGAATGGTAACCCCGTCCGCGCTAACAGTATACACTAGCACGGCACTAGTGAGGGATGATAGGTGAGGATGAAAAGGCAGGTCAGTTAGCCCATCGTGATGAATACACCTAGGATTCAGCACGATGGTTTCCAGGGGGGAACAGTTCGACCTGACAGGGTATATTGCTAACAACGGGACTGGTAGTTCGCATTACTAATAATCCCTTCCCTCCCTTTTTGAGGACTAAGGTATGCCTCTGTACCTTGTTATTCAATGACATTTTCTCTAAAAATGGCATCGGTGTCATAGAAAATCAAGCCTTGAGGGACTAGCACGATTTCTCATATAATGTTGGGATAATCGTTTATTAGCGCCACTCGTTACTATGTGCTTATAGAGCAATTATGGTACCAATTACATACTGCATCTGTGTTAGCAGCGATGCTGTCCCAATTAAGCACGGAGACGCATCTGTAGAGCGGCTAATTGCGACGCCGGTTTTACAATGCTGAATAGATGAATGAAAACTCTTTATTTCAAAAAATGATACAGATTATAAACAACAATATGTACACAAACAATTTTTTTTGTCTATATATACTATGATTAGTATTTTTGACGTATATTTTAACGGCGTGCTCAGTATGCGACCTGAGTCGCATCCTACTTTATAGAATCATGTCTTGGGGCATTTCGCGTTTCAAACAAAGTGAATAATTAATTATATCCATTTACTTCCAGCAGTAGTATTTCCGATACGACACCATAACCTTCAAGAAACGAGTATTATCCTTTTTAAAAGGCCGGCAGCACACTTGCAATGTCTTTGGTATTGTGGGTGATCATGGGCGGCGGTAGTCGCTTACCATCAGGTGAACTGCAGACTCGTTTCGCCACTGTGTTATAAAAAAAATATTAACTTAATTACATAAAAGCAAGGTAAAAAAGCAACAATGGGTGACATTATCGATAAATAACGATCTCTTGCAGGCAACCTTAGAATGTAGAGGAATGTAAATTGTGTCTAGTCAAGTTGTAAGAGAACAATGGAGAGATTAAAACAGAGAGAAAAAGGGGACTAGAGATAAATTTAAATGCAGTATAAACATATTAATCGAACATATAACCTTCTCCTTTTTTAAGTCAATTAAATACTTGAGTGTATTTTGATCTGTACTCCATGCCACTGTTTTTCAGTTGAATTGTTTATAATAATAATAATAATAATATTTCTTTATTTATAGATCATAAAGATCCATTCTTGTTAGTAACAATCGACTTAAACTATGTTAGTAGAAAAAAAAAAGAATACAAAATTAATTTTATGGCCCCTATAATAATTTTGACCCACAATGAGAGGATCGGGCTATCGTATTTATTATATGTCATTGTTTATTTTTATGTTTTTGGTGAAATAAAGATTTAAATAATACTTGTAATATATATACTGTATAGGGTACTACGAAGGAAATGATTTTCTTCAATACTAAAATTTTATTTGATAATTTTTCTACTTTTGAATATTTGAAGTTTATTACTAATCACCAAGAAACGGTTTTTAGTTTTATTATAACACTAGCGATGCTTCCCGGTTTTGTCCAGTTTTTTTTTTAAATAAAATACAATACGTGTTACTCAGTGACAATATAGCTTTCTACAGGTGAAATAATTTTTAAAATTCGTTTTTTTTATTCATTATTTGTCACTCGATGATAATGTAGCTTACTATAGGATTTTTTTTTTTAAATCGATTCACTTCTAGAGTTTATTCATTACAAACAAACGAACAATCAAATCTTTTCTCTTTATAATATTAGTGTAGATGTAGTACTAATGTATGTACAAATACAATCAAATATTGTAAAGTGACTGTTACAAACTCCTTTGTAATTTGTAATTTCTAATATTGTATTCTTTTAATTATTCATTTTTTTATAAACTGTCAGTATAACTTTTCAACACGAACCGGCGTTTTCTTTCTTACAATCAGTTCACAATATTATTGGTCCTTCTACCGTTTTAAGTGTTGGAAATGGTACTCACACGTTCCCAAAAAGGCAAGCCGTCGAATAAATACGAAAATACCATGGATCACAGCAATGGACAGTCAAACCCTACGTATGGAGATTTCGGAGGCCCAATGTGCGTCCACCAGTCAAATGGATTCGGAGGGA